AAATAATTATTATTGGCATATACTATGCAACAGTGGCAAGAAAACGAACCAATCCAGCTTTAAAACATTTTCGATTGCTGTTTTCAGAACGTATTATTTTCAAATTTCTTACGTGAAATTATTTTCAGTTTATGGATTAATAGTAATGTTTAAATTTTATCCACCAAATTGAGTAAATGAAGAAAATATAATAAAACCAGAAGTTGGGAGAGGGTGATGGTCAAAAGACGACATATCAACGTGTGAAATTGTGCCACGTCATTAACCTGGACATGAGCACGTGAGGTTTCTTAGCTATGGTAGGTCCCATAACACTGATAATCTATTCACGATAATGATAATTGTTCCCATTCTTTATTTCTTTGATTTTATTTTTAGTTTCCAGTTTTATTCTTTTATCTCTTTGTGTGACGATTTTATTTTTTGATTTTAATTAAAGTTCTAGCCTTAAAAAAAAAAAAAAGAGAGAGATGAAGCCCATCAAGAGTAGGGCCTATTAAGGAAAATTATCGTCAAGTGGGTCCCATTCACTTCTGTATGAATAGATGTAATCGGCTTGACTGTCGAGTCAGTATTTCTTTCTTTTTTTTGTTCAAATTATTTATTAGTTCAATTTTATTTCGGACGCCATAAGATATTAAATTTGTATTAGCAAAAAAATTATGATTCTGGTTCCACATTTTTTTTATCGATTACAGAAGCGTTCTATATTTGTTTTGGTACAAAATGGATTCAGAACAAGAAAGAAATCAAGCGTTCTAAGTTACCTATGTGAAATTAAATTTCGGAATTAGTTTTATATACTAAGAGCATGATTATAGGTAGTCTCTTAGAAATACTTCTTAGCAATATTTAAGTAATTTATTTGTAAAAGTTATTGTTAAGAGATAGTATTTTTGAGTTAAGATTTTTGTGTGATTAATGGTAGGCTCTTAACATATGGTTCTTAGAAGAAAAAAATATTAATATAAAAATAAAATTTATAATTATTGAAAATTTAATAATTATTGCAAAGTAAAAAAATTAAAACATACCTGAGATACAATTTATAACATAAATTATTAGGACATAATGTCCCACATCGGAAGTTGGAAGGGATCCTAAGTAATATATAAAGGGATATGGGCCACTCCACTCATTGCCAATTGGTTTTAAGTTGGAAGCCCATAGAACTTAACATGGTATCAGAGCCCGATCCACACATGTCCAACCCGATCCGACCCAAAGATGGTCCAATCATCGACAAGGCCCAAAATTGATGCCGTCGATCTAAGCCCGAATATTCCGAGATTAATGGCCAAAGAGTCATCATCTCGAGGGGGCGTATTAGGACATAATGTCCCACATCGGAAGTTGGAAGGGATCCTAAGTAATATATAAAGGGATATGGGCCACTCCACTCATTGCCAATTGGTTTTAAGTTGGAAGCCCATAGAACTTAACATAAATAACATAAAGCACAAATGTTTTAAACTTAATTTCTGGAATATTTTGCCTATATATGCTCGACCAAATCATTCTTCAATTGTTGATGCATTCTTCATTCGGTTAGTTTGCTAAGGATAGTTTCAGATATTTCAGTTATTTTTGAGTATTTTTGGATATTTTTCTGTTATGTTCGAGTATTTTTACTATTTTTATATATTTTCAAGTATTTTTGATTATTTAGTCTATAAATAACTAATTATTTTGAAATGTATTTCGGGTATTTTCGGTTATTCAAAATATATCGGTTCGGTATCGATTTCGGTTCAGTTTATTTATCCATGCCTAATTTAACTCATCAACCACTCATACACGGACATGTGGCCGTCTCTTAGCTTCAGTTTTGGCTCTTAGCTAAGAGACGTCTCTTAACTATAAGTTTGATTTTTGAATTAAATTAAATCAATTAATGCCTAAGATCTACCTAAGAATTTGCTAAGAGCTTACCTATAAAGATGCTCTAAGATATTCGTTTTTTTCTTACCAAAGTTTAAAACTTAAATCAAGAATTTACTTTTCCATTTTTATATAAAAAAAATACAAATTCCAGTCGGTATTATCATGAATTAGAATTACTATTAAAACACTTGGTAACTTTTTTTTTTTTTTTTTTTTCCTCGAACACTTGGTAACTAGTGTCGATAAATAGTTAAATTTTACCAAATACAAAAAAGGAAAAGAATGAGATGCATTTGTCGGTAGTAACAAAAAAAGAGGCATTTGTCAGTAAAAAAAAAGTAAAAAGAAAAGTAAAAGAGATGATTTGTTGTGTGGTAAATAACTCTCCTGAATAGCAAATGAAATGACTTACATACCCTCCATTAGGTCCCACCAACAATAAGTTAAGGGCATGTTCGTATTTGCAGTGAAGAAGTGCAACTCTCGTCACTAGATTTACTGTTAGATACAGATTCGGTTTGCTATATTAGATTTACCGAAGAAGAAAATAGCGAAATCAGCAAATTATTTACCAGGTTAAATCCTGACCGTTGAGATGACATCAATGGCTGGGATTTGTTTCAGACCATTGTGGGGTCCATCTCGTACAGTGTACTACACTGCTAACATTTACGAACGTCTGTGTTAGTCACACTTTAGATAGATAGACACACTCTCCACCAATCACACTCACCTCCATAAGCGCCTGTAACACACGTCCTAATAGTGGCTCTATGCACGAGAACGACGCCGTTATGTGTTCACGTGTATGTGACGCGCGAGAGAGTGCGTGGGTGATTTGTCACACGAACGCTTATAATCAGAGTGTGGGGAGGTCAGTTTCGTCCCTTTTTTTGGAAGTTAGAATCATTACACTATTTTGGCGTTTTGCTTGATTATGATGACATTATAGAATAAAATGTTCTATTATACGAAATTAATACATCACTAAACATACTTTTCATTCAGTTTTTATACAAAAGTTACTTGTACCAATATAGTATTATATCAGGTTGTTTGTTGTTCTGTTCATTGTACTTATACAAACCTTCCAAAAAAGTGTTACACTTGCTCTATAATTTTCTTCTTTATTTTAAAGTGGTATCGTAGTATTATTCGCTGAAAGTTGAAACTTCAAACCAGTTACTAATTTGCAGACGACATTTTCTTATACAAAAGTTAAAGTGACAGTAACATATCTCGAATTTAATTGAAAAGTTTACTACTCAAGTAGTCAAGTTCCTGTTACCCAAAACTATGTGTATAAAGTGCACTTTTTATAAGTTTGATTTTTGCTTTAACAACAAAAAGAACATAATATATTTAAAACGCAACAATAAAAATTTCATCCGATCGTAAATATGAATAAAACAGATTTCTATACAGTAATAAAAAGAATGACTATTGAGTAAATCATTATATTAAAAGTATACTCCAGAAACAAATTGTCGATTTCGAAAATAAAAAATAAATTACAAGAAAATCTTATAAATATTAAACCACGCCAATCCATCTTAATCATAAATACACTATAGTATTGCTAAATGTATCTATTTTATCATTTTCGACCCGCCGAGTGATTATGTAGGCTAAAAAGAGTATTGTCTTATTTGTTAATTATATAACTATGTATACACCGGATACAGCTGCACGTAGGGTTTTGTACATAATTACGAAATATCTATAAAACTGCGACAGAGGAAAAAAATAATAGAAAAAGGCTATAAGAGAAGTTTGGTCTATCCGTCTATGTAAGTGCCAGAGAAAAAGAAAGCAGTTTAAAAGTAAAAGGAGAGATTAATTAGTGGGAAAAGATTAAGCGAAAACTAATAATAATGGTTATAACAAAATTAATAATTTTAAAAAGAGATGGAATCTGCCATTAATTGACACTCATGTCCCAATCGTCGCTCACACGTACGCTCGTTTTTTTTCCTTTCTCTTTTGCAAAAAGCTAGAGAGACAATCTCTCCTCCACTTTATTTTTTTTTATTTTTTTCAGACACAAGTGCGAGTGAACAAGAGACGAGTGTTAATGTGAAATGTTTGTGGTTGGTGTGAAATTCATGTAAAAACTATTTATATTACCTTAACATTAAAGTAAATTTGAACTCTTTCTAACCATCACATTGAATGCTCAAAATCTTGTTGTATATGAGTATCAATATAAAAGAAATTTAGATGCTTATACTATGTTCCATTTTTACTGAACACTACTTAACCATTAGTCCATAAATGTGGAATTAGTTAGTTGCTGGCATCTTTATATCAGAATCAAAAGTTTTGCATATTGGGTGACAGTGAGTGCATACAGCAATAATTCACCGATCAAGATCCAACCAAGTAAGAAGAAAAAAATAACGTCAATTATCTTGAAAAATCGGTGTTTTTTGATATATAAATTAGTATTCATATATGCTTATTATAGAAAAGAAAAAAAAAAACTAAACCAGCACCAAACCCAAAAATCAGATTAGACTTTTGTGTGTGTTTTAAATACGAGAAGAGATAGGTCATAGGTGGTTGGGGTAAACTATATACAAATAATTTAATAAAGTCTTAAGAAGAGTTTTAAAAGGGTAAATACTAAATAGGATATGTAGCTTGCGGAAGACTTGATCCCATCCCCTAATCTCACGTTAATTAAACACCTCTCTCATGTACAGACAAAGACCTCATTTCTTTAACTTAAACCTTTAAGAAAAGGTTAATTCTATGAGATTAAGGATTTTGTGATGCCATTATTTTATTTATTTTTTGTATCCTCTTGCATTAATTAATTTTTCTTTTTATAAACACATACAATAATTAAAAGTAGTATTATTTGTTTGTATCTGTTATCGAAATTGAAATGAATATAATTTTATAATAATCAGAAGAAGAGGTAACATGGCATGTGAGTGCACAGCTGTGACCACTCTTCCCTTCACCATTTGATAAATACCTTCTTCCATCTTCCTTCTTCTGTCTTTTGACTCTCTTCTCTCTCTCCTCTCTTTAAGCTTTTCTAAATCTCTCTCTCTCTCTCTCCAGAGCTTCCACTTCATCTCTAATGGTGGAACCAAAACCCTAGATTCCCCCTCTCATCTTCTCTACTTCCACACTTTTCTCTCTCAAAAAACTCTTGAGAATGAAGACTTTTTCAAGCTTCTTTCTCTCTGTAACAACTCTCTTCCTCTTCTCCTTCTTTTCTCTTTCATTTCAAGCTTCACCATCTCAGTCTTTATACAGAGAAATCCATCAGCTTATAAGCTTCAAAAACGTTCTTCCTGACAAGAATCTTCTCCCAGACTGGTCTTCCAACAAAAACCCGTGTTCTTTCGATGGCGTTACTTGCAGAGACGACAAGGTTACTTCGATTGATCTCAGTTCCAAGCCTCTCAACGTTGGATTCAGTGCCGTGGCTTCATCTCTTATGTCTCTCACCGGATTAGAGTCTCTGTTTCTCTCAAACTCACACATCAATGGCTCCATTTCTGGCTTCAAGTGCTCTGCTTCTTTAACCAGTTTGGATCTATCAAGAAACTCTCTTTCGGGTCCTGTAACGACTCTAACAAGTCTTGGTTCTTGTTCCGGTCTGAAATTTCTTAACGTCTCCTCCAATACTCTTGATTTTCCCGGGAAAGTTTCAGGTGGGTTGAAGCTAAATAGCTTGGAAGTTCTTGATCTTTCTTCGAATTCGCTCTCCGGTGCTAACGTCGTTGGTTGGGTTCTCTCCGATGGCTGTGGAGAGTTGAAGCATTTAGCGATTAGCGGAAACAAAATCAGTGGAGACGTTGATGTTTCTCGTTGCGTGAATCTCGAGTTTCTCGATGTTTCGTCCAACAATTTCTCCACTGGGATTCCTTTTCTTGGAGATTGCTCTGCTCTGCAACATCTTGACATCTCCGGGAACAAATTATCCGGCGATTTCTCCCGTGCTATCTCTACTTGCACAGAGCTCAAGTTGTTGAACATCTCCGGTAACCAATTCGTTGGACCAATCCCTCCACTGCCGCTTAAAAGTCTCCAATACCTCTCTCTGGCTGAGAACAAATTCACCGGCGAGATCCCTGAGTTTCTCTCCGGCGCGTGTGATACACTCACTGGTCTTGATCTCTCTGGAAATGGTTTCTACGGTACGGTTCCTCCATTCTTCGGTTCTTGTTCTCTTCTGGAATCACTCGCGTTGTCGAGTAACAACTTCTCTGGCGAGTTACCGATGGATACGTTGTTGAAGATGAGAGGACTCAAAGTACTTGATCTGTCTTTCAACGAGTTTTCCGGCGAATTACCGGAGTCTCTGTCGAATCTTTCCGCTTCGTTGCTAACGTTAGATCTCAGCTCCAACAATTTCTCCGGTCCGATTCTCCCGAATCTTTGCCGGAACCCTAAAAACACTCTGCAGGAGCTTTATCTTCAGAACAATGGCTTCACCGGGAAGATTCCACCGACTTTAAGCAACTGTTCTGAGCTCGTTTCGCTTCACTTGAGCTTCAATTACCTCTCCGGGACAATCCCTTCGAGCTTAGGCTCTCTGTCGAAGCTTCGAGATCTGAAACTATGGCTGAATATGTTAGAAGGAGAGATCCCTCAGGAGCTCATGTATGTCAAGACCTTAGAGACTCTGATTCTCGACTTCAACGATTTAACCGGTGAAATCCCTTCCGGTTTAAGTAACTGTACCAATCTGAACTGGATTTCTCTCTCGAATAACCGGTTAACCGGTCAGATTCCAAGATGGATCGGTCGGTTAGAGAATCTCGCTATCCTCAAGCTGAGCAACAATTCATTCTCCGGAAACATTCCGGCTGAGCTCGGCGACTGCAGAAGCTTAATCTGGCTTGATCTCAACACCAATTACTTCAACGGAACGATTCCGGCGGAAATGTTCAAACAATCCGGGAAAATCGCTGCCAATTTCATCGCCGGCAAGAGGTACGTTTACATTAAAAACGATGGGATGAAGAAACAGTGTCACGGAGCTGGTAATTTACTTGAGTTTCAAGGAATCAGACCGGAACAACTTATCCGGGTTTCAACGAGGAACCCTTGTAATTTCACCAGAGTCTATGGAGGTCATACTTCGCCGACGTTTGATAACAACGGTTCGATGATGTTTCTGGACATGTCTTATAACATGTTGTCTGGATACATACCAAAGGAGATTGGTTCGATGCCTTATCTGTTTATTCTCAATTTGGGTCATAACTTTATCTCTGGTTCGATTCCTGATGAAGTAGGTGATCTGAGAGGGTTAAACATTCTTGATCTCTCAAGCAATAAGCTCGAAGGGAGGATTCCTCAGGCTATGTCAGCGCTTACTATGCTTACGGAAATCGATTTGTCGAATAATAATTTGTCTGGTCCGATTCCTGAGATGGGTCAGTTTGAGACTTTTCCACCGGCTAAGTTCTTGAACAATTCTGGTCTCTGTGGTTATCCGCTTCCGCGGTGTGATCCCTCAAATGCAGACGGGTATGCTCATCATCAGAGATCTCATGGAAGGAGACCAGCGTCTCTTGCTGGTAGCGTGGCGATGGGATTGTTGTTCTCTTTTGTGTGTATATTTGGGCTGATCCTTGTTGGTAGAGAGATGAGGAAGAGACGGAGAAAGAAAGAGGCGGAATTGGAGATGTATGCGGAAGGACATGGAAACTCTGGCGATAGAACCGCTAACAACACCAATTGGAAGCTGACGGGTGTGAAAGAAGCCTTGAGTATCAATCTTGCTGCTTTCGAGAAGCCATTGCGGAAACTCACGTTTGCAGATCTTCTTAAGGCCACAAACGGTTTCGACAACGATAGTCTGATTGGATCCGGTGGGTTTGGAGATGTTTACAAAGCGATTTTGAAAGATGGAAGCGCGGTGGCTATCAAGAAACTGATTCATGTTAGCGGTCAAGGTGACAGAGAGTTCATGGCAGAGATGGAAACGATTGGGAAGATCAAACACCGAAATCTTGTTCCGCTTCTTGGTTACTGCAAAGTTGGAGACGAGCGGCTTCTTGTGTATGAGTTCATGAAGTATGGAAGTTTGGAAGATGTTTTACATGACCCGAAGAAAGCTGGCGTGAAGCTAAACTGGTCCACACGGCGGAAAATCGCAATCGGATCAGCTAGAGGGCTTGCTTTTCTTCACCACAACTGCAGTCCGCATATCATCCACAGAGACATGAAATCTAGTAATGTGTTGCTGGATGAGAATTTGGAAGCTCGGGTTTCAGATTTTGGCATGGCAAGGCTGATGAGCGCGATGGATACACATTTAAGTGTCAGTACGTTAGCTGGTACACCGGGTTACGTTCCTCCAGAGTATTACCAAAGTTTCAGGTGTTCAACAAAAGGAGACGTTTATAGTTACGGTGTGGTCTTACTCGAGCTACTCACGGGTAAACGGCCAACCGATTCACCGGATTTTGGAGATAACAACCTTGTTGGATGGGTGAAACAGCATGCAAAACTGCGGATTAGCGACGTGTTTGACCCCGAGCTTATGAAGGAAGATCCAGCATTAGAGATCGAACTTTTACAACATTTAAAAGTTGCGGTTGCGTGTTTGGATGATCGGGCTTGGAGACGACCGACAATGGTACAAGTCATGGCCATGTTTAAGGAGATACAAGCCGGGTCAGGGATAGATTCACAGTCGACAATCGGATCAATAGAGGATGGAGGGTTCAGTACAATAGAGATGGTTGATATGAGTATTAAAGAAGTTCCTGAAGGCAAATTATGAGAGTTAGAAACAGAGCCAAAGCAGATTCTTTGAACATCAATCATCTAAGGGTCAGTCCGATTTTCCTTGGGTCTATTTTTTTGTATTTTCTACTATATTCTAAATGTATGTATCTATGTTATTTATACATAAGACGGATGTTTTTTTTTTCGGGCTCGGTCGAATTGGGGGATGGAGGAGAGAACTAAGTAATAACTTTGTTAAGAATATGTAAATATACAGTTTTTTGGGGAGGGATTTGTAATGTTTGCGTTTTAGTTCTATGAAGATTTCTTCTACGTTGCTGACAAAATTTCTTTTTTCCTAAGTAAGTTTATAAATGAAATGAATCATGAAGAAAGAAAGAAAGAGCCAATGTGTATTAAATTTCGACTGATCATGTTCATGTAAATGCACGTGACATATTATTTCATTATTGTCGGAATTAATTTGGGGAATTCACAGTGCACGGGAATGACGAAGTGAGAATAGATGAGACTTGAATTTGTTTTTTATGGGTGTAATATTTACATGACCAATGTGGTCCCTTTTGAACTATGCTGAATTAAACGTTTTTATTTTTTTTTGCTATATACTATTATTGGTGAAATTGAACCGTTACGTTAGACTATATTTATATCCATCTACCTCATTCAGTGCAAATTATCAAAAATATTTCCATTACTACTGATTTTATTTTGGCCGACGTATAACGCATACCTTATAGTATTCAATCAAAAGAATGATTACTAATATGTTTTTTGATGCCATAAATTGCAATATACAAATGGGAGGATATGTATTGCATAATAAGATAAACTCTATAGACATTAGAATAGATGTATCTTTTAGATATTGAAAATGATAGGGTGATCAATGGATTTTTAAAAAGTTAAACATTTTTGCTAATAAATAAGAGATTGATATATAACATGGAGAAATGGACCTTCGCCTGAAATTAAAACAAAGTCTGGGTTTCATGTTTCAGTGAGACACTGCACCAACATTACCACAACAAGTCTTACACAAGGAACGTGCGCCTCACGTGCTCTTCTCTTTGTCTCTCCAGCTACGTGGACTGTCTTCACTCCCCTCGCTCTTTGGATTTCGTGTTCCTTGCTTTAAAATTCTTTCGTATCTTAATCTTTTGATTAATTAATTTTTCTTTTCTCACTACTACCCAAACTAAAAACAAATCATCAGTTTAGACTTTTAATGAAACTTAAAGAAAGGTTTATTTGGGTTAAATGTTAGCTTTAGTCTAATACTATAACATTAGCTTTTGTATCCAAATTTTTTTTATCTTCCAAGATCCATTTGTCTTTGAATATAGTCATTAATTTACCTCTTATCAATAAATATTTCGCATAGATATATGATTTGCAAGATCTTCCACGTATTACGTATTGGAACCTAGATATTTATAATTTGTGTCTTTCTCGGAAGTTACGTCCTAAATGTTGTTGTATTTGAATATTAGCTACGAATGATACATGCTTCTTATATACTCTGTAGTCTGTACTATATGATCATGTATTTCTAAGAAACATTATAAAAAAAAAAAAACTTGAAACAAATACGATACGGGTACGTGGATATTCACACCAATACACTACTATTCATCTAGACAAGACACTGACATAGGCGCGTATAAACACACGCGCTTAAACTGTAGAGGATGAGAGAGAAGAGATGAGTAGCTATCAAGCGGAACACGCGCGACGGTGGTGGGTACGGAGCACGTGGGCCACCGTGCATGCAAGCTGTTCTTGTCGGAAACTTCCCCTAACAACGTCTCCTTCCGCCGTGGGCCGCCGTCCCTTTCCTGTCTCCGCCGAATTGACCTCTTCCTCTCTCTCTCTCATATCTCTCCCACGTGTGTTTCCTTCTCGTCCATACAATTCTCTTAATTAATTTATTATCTTCCTAATAAATATTCTTAATACATTTTGTTTTTTCATATGCCTTAAGAAATTTTATAAACTATTATTTTGACAACTTGTCAATAATACTATTAGTTACGCGGAATTATTGGGTACGTACGTGGGTTTCATTGCTCTTTGTCTGATATCAAGAAAACGAGTCACATATATAATTAAATTCAGGAATAAGCACAATGCAAATAAGCCACTATCCACAAAATTTATCCATATATGATTCAAAATTTCTGAGCTGCAAATGATAAAAATTGTGAATTGAAGAGAGAAATTAGTAAAAACATCACTGAATTGCAAAACGGTGGAAGAATTGGTTTCCTACGATAAATTTGATAGAATTATATATGGAACATCTGAATACATAAAGGGTTACGATTCCAAATAATTATGCAATTTGTAAGAATTCATTATTACAAAATCATTCTATCATATTTTAAGACCTTTTTCTTTCAATCAAAACCAATAATTCACGTTGAACGTCGTCATGTATCTGTTAATTAATTATGTACAAATAAAATTGTAAATATGGTCAAGTGCAAGACGGTCCATGCATTTAGATATTTTTCTGTAAGGCATATAAGTGGAGGATTGCGATGTGTGTACGTAATACATATTAATCATTAATCAATATATATGTATAGCTATGAATAATGGGGTTGGAAATCTGAAGTTGAATCAATCTAATCGTAGTTTTGTTCATTCTCGAGGCTTCTTTCTCACGTACAAAAGTCCCCGCACGAGCTAAAGATTGTTCTCAAATAAATTGTTTAGAAATTGAGGTTTTCGACCATGTACGAACTACACAAAGCTACAAACAAAGAAAATAATTAAGAAATTTTTTTTGTACGTAAACATGTAGACAAACAAATTTCCACGCGTGTGAGCTCTCTGCCATACATATACAGCTAAGACTTCTGAAAACGACATTGATTAATTAAAACGTCTCGTCGTGAAAAAACTAATATGTAAAAACCTTCTCTTTTCGCTAAAAGGATAACAATTCTGTGTGTTTTTGTTTACCAGTGATTAATAATGCTTTATACAATAATACAAATTTACGTACCAACAAGATATTATTTCACATGACGAACAAGCGATCAAAGTTGTTCTTACCGAGTTACTGTCAAATTTTGGCAATTGCTTGCTATAACATTCTCATAATATAATAATTTATCATGGTCTAACTAAGTCGAATTATTTCTATGAATACTTTCTCTGCATATAAATTTTTATTTTTTTTTGTCAATATATACTATTTAGTCTCTTTATGTTTGGCTCTCTTAAAACTTACAAAAAAAATAAAGATATAATGTTAAGCTAATTTAATCAAATAAAATCGTTGGATTCATCTCACCTAGGAATCTTCCTTCTTTTCACGACGGAGAGACAAAGAAACAAAAAGCGACGGCTCAGATTTCGTTAATGTTTAATGAAGTACTCAAATACTGTATTATATTCATCTCCTCGCAGCTTCTCCCAGCTTTCTCGTTTTTAATTCCCAGTCTCCTTTCAACAAGTTTTTTTAAAGCATTTCAATACTTAATGTTTAGGCGTCAGGATTACGTTATCTTAACTCTTTCAATGGTTTGAACTTTGAAACTGCCTTAAGAGAGCCTTGTAAAATTATTGAAATTTTCCTTCTTGATAATAATTATTGAAATCAGTTTGTGGAGAATTATGTAATGTATGTCGTAAATCAGTATAATAGAAGAAGGGAAAAAAAAAAGATGTAACTTTTAATGATAGCGAGTACTATCAGTAACACAATTAGCTATCGTGTAATATATAATTTTTACATAATTAGCTATCGTTCTAAAACTAAACTAGATCATCACCCGTACTGTAGTACGGGTTGAATTTCATTTATTACAAAATTTATAAATTTTATGTTTTAGAATAAAGTTGTGATATATTATAATAGTAAGTGAAAAAATAATATTTTTTTGTCAATTCCTATATATAATATTAGAATGAATATATTTTCCTTTTTCTATAGTATTCAATTATGGATATTTTTTTTAAGATATGAAAACGGAAAATAAGATTTTTTAAAAAAAAGTTAATATTGTTTGAACAATGAGTTAATTTATGTTAACAACCACAAAATGAGAGTGCATATAATTTAGTTAGATCAAAAATCAAAATATCATAAATGAATCGCATCTAAAACGTAGATTATTTTGAATTACTTAAGAAAATTAGCTATTATTTTGAATTAATTTAGAAAATTATTTTTTCAAATTTTGATTCATTGGTTGTTGAAATAGAGATTTGTTTGAGCTAATTACGGAATTTACCAATTATTCACATAATCAAATATGTTATGAACATATATTTGGTATATAATAATACCAAATTCAATCCGTGTGTGGATTCTATATTTTCATTTTACAATCCGTATAAAAATATTGCGGCACAGTATATTATTTATTATTTTCAAAATTGCTTGCAGAATCAAATTTTCAAATATTTAGAAGTGTCAAACCTTATTTAACTCATCTCATCATAAAATCTTAAAATGCCGTCTGTTATAAGGATCATAACTTTCTACCATATAATACATTACATTTAACCCGCCGCCTACTATAAATATTTTAAACATATCTTTTTAGAAAATCAAATTAATGTATTTATAATTTTTTTTATTTTTTTAATTTATTAAATATTTATGATATTCTTTAATATATTAAATTAAACTATTTTAAAATGTTCCAAATTAAAATCCTTAAAATTTTTTATTGTATTATGTAAAATTATGAATTTAAAAAAATGATATGAAATTAAATATAAATATTCAAATAATTATAAGGATCATAACTCATTTCATCATATAATATATTATATTCAACCCGCCGCCTATTATAAATATTTGTTTCAAAAAATCAAATTAGAGTATTTATACTTCATAAATTTTTGATCCATTAAGTATTGATGATATTAAAAAAAAAGGAATATATTACTCAAATATGATTTTTGACCCGTTAAATTTCTTCTTTCATACATTGAATAATTTATATTCGTTTTTAAAAATTCAAATCTTGGTATATGCGGAAAAAAATTTACTTTTTTTTTTATTATATAGATGATATAATGATTTATTTATTTATAGAAATAGAATCATATAAAAATGAGAGGTGAAGTATAATGATTAATAACAA